TCTCTTCATCCTGTTATCATCTCTCCTGAATTTAAAAAAAAAAAGGAATAATAATTTCTTCACTATAGTGACGTGTACTAATTAAAGATAATAAACACAAAAGCTTTTTATAAACTAGATGGGAACTGGATTTTGATAAATTATTTTTGTTCAATGTTGTACTGTTTCCTCTCTTTCACTTTCCTTTGAATTTCCATTTTTAATTCTTTAATGATTCTCTAAGGCTAGAGGAAAAGAAATACTAAATTATCTCAATGGAAGCCTCCAAGAGAGATGAGGAGACCCTGAAAAAGGGGATGAAGGAGAAACAATTGCAGGGTCTGGCAAACCCAGACCTGCTCTGAAGCCCTGGGGCGCTTTTCTCCCAGTGGGTGGAGGCTGCAATTGGCACATCCTAACCTTTCCTTCTTAACCAGAGAGAAAACAGGAGACTGTACCTAAATTCTCAAACTGGAACTAATTGATTTTCAACTAATCTAAGCCTCTAAGTATGAAGAAACTAGGACCAAAGGCAGACCCCAGGAAGGTGGGGGTAGTAGGGAGAGAGGTGCCCAGAGAGCCTGGGGCTAAAGAGACCACAGAATTAAAGAGGAAGGACCAAAGAATGCTGGGGGTGGGGTGAGAAGAGAGAAGAGAAGAGGGAAGGAGCTGGAGGTGATGGTGGGGGACTCCCAAATCCTTCAAGGCCTTGTCTTCAGATGTTATTCCCATTGTTATTTCTCATTAAACTTTTGAAATTGGCTATTTGTCGGTGACCCCTGCAAGTTTCAAAAATGTTTAATTAAACTATCATTATAACTATGTATGGCAGCTGCATTTGACAATCAAATGTTTTTAAGTGGAATAATAATCCTTGTGGTCACATTTATGGATGTAAAGGGTCATTGAGGAAGAGAAAAAAATTTTTTTTTCTTCCCTCCATAATGTCTTTCTCTTCAAAAGCTAAAATTTTTAAAGAATGACTGCTGTTTTATCCAATATTAGCATTTATTATTCCAGGCATAGGCCATGAGCATGTATTACACTGGTTTCAAATTATCTTTCCTCTCAACCCATCCCCCACTTCAAAAAAAAAATTCTTGCATGTGTTTATGGCTGTGTTTATGTTACACAGGTGTTAATAACCCTGTTGGAGAGAACATAGATAGGCATCTTCAGGTAGATGTCTATATAAATTCCTCTCTACTGGCACTTGAGTTAGCCAGAAACAACAATAAATATCAGTGATGTCCTTCAAATCTGTCAATTTAAAACATAACATTTTTTTCTTCCAATATCATGAGAGTCCAATGATTTTGAAAAGGAGGAGTTAATTTAAAGTTTTGAAAGCCTTGTTTTCTTTCATATCTAACACACTAAATATGTGGTTAGAAAACATGAAAAACTTTAAGCATCATATTTACATACTTTAACGCTTGAGCATTAATGTATATTCTTGAAATATATCTATAGATTTGACTGCAAGCCAACTAGCTGATCAGTGAATAAAATAACATTAAGAAAACCAAAGTTCAACTTTTTCATAAAAGGACATACAAAGAATAATACAAAAGTGAATTTCCTGTGTTTACTGTTTTTTGTAATTTCCTCTGAAACATCCACAATGTTATGTCATTTTAGTTATACTGTCAAGATCAAATAAAAATTGGTTTCTAATTTAAAAAAAAAAGTCTTAGAAATACACTGCATTTTTTCTTTATATAAACAAGAATATACTTAAATAGTGAAAGCACATAATCTAATCACTACTTTCCTTTGCATGGGTATTTAATATATAAACTAACACAGAACACTGTTGAAAAAGAGAGGCTAAAAAATAAAATTACCAGTAAGGTGATTTTATTACTAACAAAATAATGTGGTATTGATTTAGCAAAACTTCCACTGGTATTCAGCAGTTTCAGGGAAAAACAAGGGAATTCAACCTGCAAAGATCTCCTACTATGAGACTGACAAAATCGGGCCTAAGAAAAATGCATACAAAAGAGTAGAAAGTTACTCTTCATTCAATTAATCATTTGTATTTGTTTCTTCAAAGTGAGCAAATCACTTAAAATAATTTAAAGTTAAAAATGACAACTTGGGTTTTGTATTAAGTGTTTACATGACTTAAATCTATTTATTTACATTTTATTTTGCCTTTTAGAAAATTATATTTTCCACTTATGAACACAAAATTATCTCACTGGAAATTTAAAAAGTAGATATAACAAATACATTGCACATTTTTAAAAAGTAGATATTTCATGAAATATGATTTTGAGTATGGATTAAGTTTAACTGTTCTTGATAAGCAAAATCTATATTGGAAAATATGTCTTTCTAAATGATTAGATAAATGCACCAAATCCATTATTTGGCTTGAAGATGACAATATGAAAGAATTTTTTTAAAGTATTCTAGTAGATCCTTTCTATATAATTCACCTTATTATGGGAAATATCAACAGATTCTTTCCACATATTTACATGTCCAAGTTACTTCCTGAGTACAAATCCATTGCTGCTGTTAATTTGTCTCATTTGCACTTAGTCTCCACTATATATACATCTTGTAAGATATACAAAAAATAAATAAAATTCTCCTGGGTCTTATAAGATCATGAATTATGTTGCAGGTAACAGTCTTAGGGCAGTTCATAATAATATTACATTTATACTTTTTCTGAGTATGCTTTGACCTGTTTTACTGTGGAATAATACAGAAGTTAATAAGTTTTTACTAAGTAGTGATTGGGTGTAAGAAGTGGATATATTAGAAGGCATGTTATAAGGGTAATACAATCATGGTTCTATTTTCCTCAGAGACTACTAGAATCATTCAGCCAGTATCAGAATCAATAATTTCTTTAAGAATTTAGTTTGGAATTATTAGATGATAAAGAAATGAAATGGTTTGTTAGTGAGGATAAGCCATTATTTAGTAGTTCAAGTATAATAAAAATAGTTTTCTATAGTTTATATCCAATATTGTTTCTCTAGAATTAAATAAATGAACATATTTCTTGGTAATAAACTTATAAATCACTGTGCTATTATAATATAAACAATATAACCAAAATTTCAATGATTTAAAAATATGTCTCTTAATAAAAAAAGAACATAAAAATCACTTAATAAAGCTGTTTATTGTTTTTTACTTTCTTGTTGTATGTAGATTTCTAAAATGTAATGGTACCTGAATTCAAAAAGACTTAATTTTTTATAAAATAATCATATACTTCTCTTACAAATGATCAAAATACTCAATTAATATAAAACATTATTAGAATAAATTAATGACTGAGTTGATTTTTTTAAAGTATGTAATACTTTAAAAAGAGGATGTCTGTCAGATTTTAGATGACCTGAACTGATACTTTGAGTGATTAAAATTTTTTTTTGAATATGTAAATTATGCTAGATTGGAAATTTACTATTAAAATACTGTAGCTTAAATTTAAAGTCTTGAAAATACTTTAGAAATGCTACAGAGTCAAATGTACTCTGAGCTACATTTTCATGCCTCTTACACTAGGAAAAAGGAATCAAACTAATTTGGAATTAAGCTGTTTTAGAAGTCCAAGTGAAACCAGTTAATTATATATAGAAGAAAAGGCCTCCAGAATACCTGACCAGTACCACAAATGATGACTAACGAAAACTTAATAATGAGAGCTTTGTGTACCAACATAAGACATATGATTTATTAAGCACCTTATCCTTCATGCTAGGAGTCACTGCTAAAAGCAAATGAGCAGAGCATATTAAGCAACATATATTATAAAAGCATCCATGTGTCATTAAGATTTGCTGCTATCTGACTTTTCAAAGAATATTTGCTTTGAGATATGAGGAAGTTTTTAATTAAGTGTGTAATAAAACATGTCGATTTTAAGTCAAAGCAGATTGTAATTTTTAAAATAGTGTTTTAAAAGTTCTTGCATTATAAAGTTCTCAGCTTTTTCCAGTTGATTAAATTTGTTGGTAAAATTTTTAGTCTTCAAAAATTAAACATTCAATGTTATTTTCCTTTGAATATATAAGGATAGTATATTAACCTTTAGTTTTTATGGAAATATTTAAAAGAACAACATCCCTTGTAAAAGCTTTTTGAACTGATAAACTCTTTACTATTATTGTCAGAGAGAATTTGGGGCACCAATTTACTATTTGATATTGTCGACATTTAAAAACTACCCTAAATTTCCAGCATTGAATAAAACATAATTTTAAAAAATTATTCACAAATATTATTGCTACTTACAGAAATCCTCAATTAAATATTTTACTTCAAATAAAAGAAAAATTATGTATAGGTAAAGATTATCAAAGCATGATTTACATGTCTCTTGCCTGTGGAAAAAATCAAGTAGGTATGATATATTTTCATCATTTAGTTAAAAAAAATGTTAGGTTGAGGCTTCTTTTCTAAAATAGTTTTCATAGAATTTCAGAATTGCATCCCAGATTCTTTGATAGTAATATTTAATAGTATTATTTGATCTTGGTTAATTTCCTATTAATATTTTATAGTAATTGCTTCCCCTACATGAGAGTTTTTAAGTAGTACATGAAAGTATACGTTCTTTAAATTTCCAACCAAAAAAAAATGGTACAGGATGTTACTTTTACTTCCCCATATGTGCTTGTTTCTTTTTCTTTTTCTTTTTTGCCTAAAGCATTGCTATCCTCATAAATTTCACTTTTTTAGACTATGGCCTTTTTCTTCATATATTTAAGCAAGGTTGAAATTTTAACAAGCTCTGAAGAGACCCAAATCTACCCAAACTATAACTTTAATTCTAGCATTTCACATTAAATATATAGATATAGACATGACTTTGTTGCCTAAAGGAAAATCTTACCTTTTATCAGTGAAAGAAAGGAAACAGAAGCTAGAGAGAAGAGTTACAGAAAATGACTTTGTATAAACAAGGCCACCTACCAAGCAGCTACTTTACCATTAGGAAAACTTCCACTCTGTAATAACACAGATTAACAAATAAATGAACAACATACCTAAGTTGACAAAGCTCATGACCATGTCTGCATCGTTCAGAAAGTTGGTGTCATGTAGGCTGGCTAGAGGAGGGCTCTGGGTGGTCAGAGGAGCTGTTCGAGATAACTGTATACGACGAGGATATCCATTGGGAGAGGCTGGGTATCCTTTTCGTGCCCCTCTAGTTTCTCCTGCCAGGGATGCCCTCACCGAGTATTCTGACTCTTCAGGATTTTCTTCATTGGTCATGGCATTGTACAGGTCCAGCATAAAGAGAGGCGCAGAGGATGCTTGTTTTCCAGGTGAAAAGGGTCTGGGTCTGTGAGGCAAACCCAAGATAGAGAGAATTTCCCTCTGTATTTCCCGTCTTTCATGGTTCCGTAGTCTTCTATAAATAAAACTGGAATGAACATGATTGTCTCCCAAACCTCCTTTTGCATAACCCACTAGAACCCAGCAGCTCCAGAGGAAACCCACAACACCCCTAAGTAAAAATACAGTCAGATGCATTTTTGTCCAGAAGCAAAAGTTGATATTTTTAGTCCTTCTTGTCCTTGTTCTTAAAAAGAAATCTAAGTTGCTAGGAGGTACACTTTCCCAGTAGCTGTAAAAACAAATTTACCTATCTTCATGACAGTGACATTTCTGAACACGACATCCTCACTGATTTTCCTGTCCTATATTAAATATTTTGGAATGTGTCAAGAGTAGTTATTTCTAGGAAAGCTGAAACTCAGATTTCCAGTTATCCACAGTTGCTAAGAGTTTTTGCTGCATTGATGGAGCAGAAGACGGCCAATATTATGTGATCAGATGACCTATGCATTCCTATATGAATTTATGATAATCAGGCCTTTGGTATTTGAATTAACGGAAGCTGATCTTCTGATAAACTGTAGTTCCCAAGTTATCTTCACTTGTTCTGGAGTTCTTCTCAACCCTTGAGCTCTTTCCAAGACAAATCCTGATTTCTGAATCACAGATCTATGCTGATCTGCACCTTGGTGTTGGAATATATATTTGTCCGGCAGCTTGGTGATAACTTTAACATCTTTTGTATCGTCTTAGTGTAAAATAAGACTCAAGGTTGTACTATTCAAGTAAATGTGTTTCCCTGAATTTACTTGAAATCCTTCCTGTAAGTCCATTCAATCCCTTTCTCCTTCTTACTGTTAATTCCACCTCCAGCAGGCACAAATATACCAGCCCTCTTCCAGAGAGATCTAAAGAGTAGTGTAAGCACAACCCTGCTGGGAAAGAAGAGGCTTCTCATTGTAATTTGAAACTGGTAAAGCAAAAAGAACTTAACCCTTTTGCTACCAGAAAAGCCTCCATTTTCACAATTTTATAACCACACATCTAACATAGAACAGTGATGTATGGGACATACGAGTTCCAGGGGGAATAAAAGCTGGTTTTTCAAGTAGCAAAGTTTCTAAAAACTTTGCCACCCACTTTATATAGCACTCCTTTAGAGCTCTCTGTCTTTTAAGGGCACATATTTAATACACTTCTACATTAAGTCTCTGGTTGTAGCTAATTTAACAAGATATGTCTCAGTTCTATATGAGATTATTTCTAGCTTTTTAAAAATCATTGATGTATTCTTCTTTTAAAAAAAAGTAAAAGAACAGGTTGAAAATTGGGGTTAATTAGTTGTTTCTAAATGATAGCTAGACTTTTTTAAATGACACAGTAGAAATTTAATCATTTGTAAATATATCTCACAAAATAGTTGTTACACTACTTCAGTAGATAACACAGCTCTAATAAGTTTCTTTACATATCAAATTTTTAAATAGAAAAGTATAGACATATTTCTCTTATTAAATCAGTACAGATGAAACACATATATCCTAAGATGTTGTATCATGGTTCTTAACTTGTTTCAGTTGAAATGTAGACAGTCTTACAAACTAGATATTTCCCATAAATATTTCTCAGAACTTTAATTTATTTTAACCCATGCAAATAAGTACAAGTTGGCTGGGATTTAACATTCTTCATGACTACATGTAGATTGAAATTTGAGTTTCTAAAATTTGATGGGTAAAATGGGGAAAGTGTACACCTTTCTAAAATACCATACTTAATCCAAGGAAATGAGCAAAGTACGTGTTTATCCTTAATGTTTAATGCTTTTAAAATTTGGAAGTCTACAATATTTTTGTGCAGCTATAATTTTCCTCACAAGCACTCACTTAACCTTAGGACTCACAGTACTTTCATTGTCTTACATAGCATTCTGATACCAACATAAATTTATTGAGCAAATTCTAGAACTGTTATGAAATTTTAATGTTTTTCCTTTACCTAGAGGCGCCTGGTTTCTTGTTTAATTTCTTTTTACATATTTCCTCTGAGTGCATAAAGAAAAGTCATATTTATCACAAGTTTTCAGTTTATTGGTAAATGCAAGATGCTGAAAGGGCTTGCAGAATCTTATTGTGTGCATCATTTGTCTTATACAAACTCATGACACTAAAACTCAATGATGTTGTGTGATATTTGCCTTGTTGAAACTTTTTTTTTTATTAATAGTCATGCAGGATGCCACAGTAGCAGCAATTACAAAGAATACCAGAAGTACAGATTGGAAGTAAGTGAAGAAATACTATTTCAACAACAATAAAAAAAAATGGTTTGAACTACTTAAATCCTTGAAATAGTTTATTTAATATGCAAATCAAACTAATAATTTCTGGTCCAACAGAGATTCAGATAAGCTACTTTAAAAGTAAAATATTTCTCTGTATTTATAAGACATATCCCAGATATAGTAGGTTACACTTTTTTCCTCTGTGTTTTAAAATAAATTATCAATGTTATCAATTTGCTTCATTTTTCTAGGGCTAAGCATGGAGTTATAAAGTTAAAATGCACCACACTAGAGGAAGAAATCATTCTTATTGTCTTCCATATGTGGTGGTTTTCCCTAAAATACATGTAAAAAATAAAAAGGAGATTAGGTGTCACAAGTCTCAAAAACTCATTTTCCCAAAGTATGATTTATGATATCAACTGGTATAATTATAACTTAATCACTTACCCAGGCACATAGCCTTCCTTTTTGGAAATCAGTTGCTACTATTCTTGGTCACAAGTTTTAGTGTTCACCCTCCCCCTACCTTCCCTTCTAACTTAAGACTAGATTTGGCAAACATTCATTTTTTTCCAAAAAGATCAACATGTGCAATGAGGAAAAGAAAATAAAGACAAAACCTTCCAAGAATAAAGGGGAAATGCTAGTGCCTAAACAAAATGTTTGATTTATTTTTTATGAAAAGTAAATGCCTTTAACCATATCATTTGAATTTCTAGGTAGGATTTGTATCTTTAAGAAAGCAAATTGAAAGATAAAATATTTTTTCATTGCCAAGTATAAACATTCCAAATTTCAAAGCATGCATTTTGATATTAGACAAGGAGTTAAACCTATTGAATAATCATATGCAGGAGAAGAAAGGTGAAGACTGAAGACAACCCAGGTCATCACAAGACTTGTTCTTAAAGAAAGTACACTTCAGGAAGAGGAACCTTAGTAAAAATCCACCCCTCACAATTTAGTTTTTGCCTGGGTCTATACTAACATCATGACCTTCTGGCAAGAAGCAGAGACAATGGAATCCACATAGGAAGTATTCTCAACTCATTCTTTCTGTTCAGGTTTCTTTTCCTCATTAAAATTAGACACATTTATTCCATGGATATAGAAATCAACCATGTCCAATTGACGAATTTCATTTTTTTTCTAGCTTTTTCAAAAGACACTAGCTCAACAGGAATTTGAGTTGATTACTAGTCTGTTTTGTTCTAGAAGGTTCTTCCAATTTCACTTCTAGTTTGTTGTTGTTTGCTGGTGTGTTGTTTTCTCCTTGAAACAAAATCTCCCTTCAGAAAATAAGACTACACCAAATGCTAGAGATATCCAATGTAAATGGTATTTGAATTCCTAAAGTATCTCTCAAATTTGGAAAATAATACAAAACCATTATAATATGATCATAAAATTTTTAAGCAGAAGCTGGGTTACATTGAGTGGCTAAGGCAAAAAGGTGGAGATGAAGGTGCTCAGGAGGTTGAAGAGGCTGGTAGCAATGGAGAGCGCAGGGAAGGTAGCCCCTTCTGGAATCACGCTAGTGAATGCAGCTGCACGGGCATAACAGAGCAGCATCTGTGATATTAAATTGCCTTCAGTTCACTCTCTTTTTAAGCCAAACGTATAAACAGAAGATGGTGTGTACTGCAGTGGTCCAAAGGAAGGCAGAGCAGAGCTACAACACCACCATCTGACTTAGATTTGCTTCTCCTCCATCTGATTACTAGCTGTTAAAGAAAACCTGGAAATGAATAGTAAAAATACTCACCAAAACTTTGGAATGTTTGGTATTATTTTTAATGAATGGTGGCATTACTGAGTAGTTTTAAGTGAGCAGAGGACTTTTCAAAGTGCTTTGAATTATTATGTGTTTTTAAGATTTTTTATATTACTTTATGAGTAGGTGTTCTAATAATTACTTATAGAGAATAAAGCAATATTCAATCATTAAAAATTCAACACTATGAGAGGACCACCAGTCTAGTGACTATATCCAACAAGTAGACCCCAATTAGCTCACCCCAAAACATTGGGTCAGTTTGTTTGGCAAGATATTTCATCCATCATCCATAGCAACAGATTTTAAGTAATTAGGTAGGCTGCTCAGTAAGCAATACTGTAGTCATTTTTAAAATAATATCTTCATTTGTAGAGCACTTTGTAATTTTAAAAATTAATTCACAATAATCCAACATTTGGGATTATTTATTAATTCATTTATTCATTCAACAAACATTTATCATACGCTTGTGATGAAAATATTAAGTACTACATACTTCAGACAGGACAACAAACTCACAAGGTTCACGTTGTTACAGCTTTATAATCATACAGAATTATCTTTTCAATTGATTTAGGGCATAAAATTATGTATTTATTAATTAAAGTATATTTCTACTTTTTTCCCTTCATATGTTAGCTAGAATGCAAGCTGAATGAAAATAGGGCCTGAATTTATTTTGTACATCAATGTGAAACATATTGGGAGCTCAATGTTTGTTGAATAACTGATTTTTTAACAAAGATGAACAATATTACAAGGGATCTTTTTAACAACAGTTCTCTCTAGAAGCATAGTTATAAGGATTCACTAAGTTTTCAAGTTGATGGAATGCTGTATCTCTTAGTTGCTAGGTTTCCCCAACCTATTAAAGTTTCTAAACAAACAAAACTTGCTTATCATAGGTCTTATCCCATAGTTATACAATTACAAGCTCCTATCAATAGGAGACAACTATCATGACTCAGAAGGAAAAGCATTACACAATAAGTTACATCATCAATTGCAAATTCTATTGGACTATTATTATGGAAAAACCCTATACTGAATTAAAGTTACCCCAGACCCATATGAGCAATGTCTGTTCCTGTTAATACCTCATTCCTTGAATTACAATGGATTTTTTATGTTTTGTGTTTTATTTTGGTGTCATTTTAACAGCCCATATTATAATGCAAGAAGCCCTGAAAATGAAGACTTGTTTAACAAACTTTAGCAATTAACAGCATACATGCTAAAGCTGAACAGAGATGAACTAAACAATAAACTCTGGTGTGGGAGGTGGGGAGGGCACATGGGAAAAGGCCCCAAATAAAGCATGTAGAGTACCCAAGTTCTTAAACCCGCACTTTTCATACTTTTCACTTGTGCAGATGGCTGATTCTAACTACAAGCATCTGAACAATAAAAACCCACAGAAATGCAATAGTTCAGTGAAAGGCACAATTACCAATTTACTCCATAATTCCCCAGCAGCAAGGTGATCACCAGTAGAAAATAAAATCTATGTCACTAATCATATGTTCAAAATGAGACAATTTAAAGGAAGATTTAAAACTACCTGACACAAAATTGTTTTGATCACATGCTTACTATTATTTGTAACATTTTAATCAAAGGGTTCTACTAGCATATTTTGTCCCAGGAAACAGAAAAAGTTTCATAGAATCTTCTTCAGAAACTGCAGAATAAATTTACAGGCTAACAAATTAATCCCAAATACATGATAGAAATTGTCCATCAGCAATAAAAAGAGGTGTATTTACTCATGATCCATTAATATTCTGCAACATTAAAAGGATATGACTCTGTTTCTTAATACTTAATATTGAGGAAATATGACCAACAATGGA